TTGGATTTTCGACTTGAGAATTGCGGTGCAGGCTCTAGATGGCCATGCCACTAACCAGCCATGCAAAAACAAGGGCTTAGGGCATGCTGAGTAGCTGGGAAAAATAAAGAAGAGCATGTGCTTTCATGGGGAAACGCTCAAACATTCATACTTGGGGCAAATGTTGAAATGCTATAGCTCCCCACCCCTTTGGATTTTCGACTTGAGAATTGCGGTGCAGGCTCTAGATGGCATGCACTAACCAGCCATGCAAAAAACAAGGGCTTAGGGCATGCTGAGTAGCTGGGAAAATAAAAGAAGAGCATGTGCTTTCATGGGAAACGCTCAAACATGTCATACTTGGGGCAAATGTTGAAATGCTATAGCTCCCCACCCCTTTGGATTTTCGACTTGAGAATTACGGTGCAGGCTCTAGATCACATGCAAAGCCATGCAAAAAACAAGGGCTTAGGGCATGCTGAGTAGCAGGGAAAGATAAAAGAAGAGCATGTGCTTTCATGGGGAAACGCTCAAATATTCATACTTGAGAATTGCGGTGCAGGCTCTAGATGGCATGCACTAACCAGCCATGCAAAAAACAAGGGCTTAGGGCATGCTGAGTAGTTGGGAAAAATAAAAGAAGAGCATGTGCTTTCATGGGGAAACGCTCAAACATTCATACTTGGGGCAAATGTTGAAATGCTATAGCTCCCCACCTTTTGAATTTTTGACTTGAGAATTGCGGTGCAGGCTCGAAATGGCATGCACTAACCAGCCATGCAAAAAAAAAGGGCTTAGGGCATGCTCAGTAGCTGGGAAAAATAAAAGAAGTGCATGTGCTTTCATGGGGAAACGCTCAAACATGCATACTTGGGGCAAATGTTGAAATGCTATAGCTCCCCACCCCTTTGGATTTTCGACTTGAGAATTACGGTGCAGGCTCTAGATCACATGCAAAGCCATGCAAAAAACAAGGGCTTAGGGCATGCTGAGTAGCAGGGAAAGATAAAAGAAGAGCATGTGCTTTCATGGGGAAACGCTCAAATATTCATACTTGAGAATTGCGGTGCAGGCTCTAGATGGCATGCACTAACCAGCCATGCAAAAAACAAGGGCTTAGGGCATGCTGAGTAGTTGGGAAAAATAAAAGAAGAGCATGTGCTTTCATGGGGAAACGCTCAAACATTCATACTTGGGGGAAATGTTGAAATGCTATAGCTCCCCACCCCTTTGGATTTTCGACTTGAGAATTGCGGTGCAGGCTCTAGATCACATGCAAAGCCATGCAAAAAAAAAGGGCTTAGGGCATGCTGAGTAGCTGGGAAAAATAAAAGAAGTGCATGTGCTTTCATGGGGAAACGCTCAAACATTCATACTTGGGGCAAATGTTGAAATGCTATAGCTTCCCACCCCTTTGGATTTTCGACTTGAGAATTGGGGGGCAGGCTCTAGATGGCATGCACTAACCAGCCATGCAAAAAACAAGGGCTTAGGGCATGCTGAGTAGTTGGGAAAAATAAAAGAAGAGCATGTGCTTTCATGGGGAAACGCTCAAACATTCATACTTGGGGCAAATGTTGAAATGCTATAGCTCCCCACCTTTTGGATTTTCGACTTGAGAAATGCAGTGCAGGCTCTAGATGGCATGCACTAACCAGCCATGCAAAAAACAAGGGCTTAGGGCATGCTGAGTAGCTCGGAAAAATAAAAGAAGAGCATGTGCTCTCATGGGGAAACGCTCAAACATTCATACTTGGGGCAAATGTTGAAATGCTATAGCTTCCCACCCCTTTGGATTTTCAACTTGAGAATTGCGGTGCAGGCTCTAGATGGCACGCACTAACCAGCCATGCAAAAAACAAGGGCTTAGGGCATGCTGAGTAGCTGGGAAAAATAAAAGAAGAGCATGTGCTTTCATGGGGAAACGCTCAAATATTCATACTTGGGGCAAATGTTGAAATGCTATAGCTCCCCACCCCTTTGGATTTTCGACTTGAGAATTGCGGTGCAGGCTCTAGATGGCATGCACTAACCAGCCATGCAAAAAAAAAGGGCTTAGGGCATTCTGAGTAGCTGGGAAAAATAAAAGAAGTGCATGTGCTTTCATGGGGAAACGCTCAAACATGCATACTTGGGGCATATGTTGAAATGCTATAGCTCCCCACCCCTTTGGATTTTCGACTTGAGAATTACGGTGCAGGCTCTAGATCACATGCAAAGCCATGCAAAAAAAAAGGGCTTAGGGCATGCTGAGTAGCTGGGAAAAATAAAAGAAGTGCATGTGCTTTCATGGGGAAACGCTCAAACATTCATACTTGGGGCAAATGTTGAAATGCTATAGCTTCCCACCCCTTTGGATTTTCGACTTGAGAATTGGGGGGCAGGCTCTAGATGGCATGCACTAACCAGCCATGCAAAAAACAAGGGCTTAGGGCATGCTGAGTAGTTGGGAAAAATAAAAGAAGAGCATGTGCTTTCATGGGGAAACGCTCAAACATTCATACTTGGGGCAAATGTTGAAATGCTATAGCTCCCCACCTTTTGGATTTTCGACTTGAGAAATGCAGTGCAGGCTCTAGATGGCATGCACTAACCAGCCATGCAAAAAACAAGGGCTTAGGGCATGCTGAGTAGCTGGGAAAAATAAAAGAAGAGCATGTGCTTTCATGGGGAAACGCTCAAACATTCATACTTGGGGCAAATGTTGAAATGCTATAGCTCCCCACCTTTTGAATTTTTGACTTGAGAATTGCGGTGCAGGCTCGAAATGGCATGCACTAACCAGCCATGCAAAAAAAAAGGGCTTAGGGCATGCTCAGTAGCTGGGAAAAATAAAAGAAGTGCATGTGCTTTCATGGGGAAACGCTCAAACATGCATACTTGGGGCAAATGTTGAAATGCTATAGCTCCCCACCCCTTTGGATTTTCGACTTGAGAATTACGGTGCAGGCTCTAGATCACATGCAAAGCCATGCAAAAAACAAGGGCTTAGGGCATGCTGAGTAGCTGGGAGAGATAAAAGAAGAGCATGTGCTTTCATGGGGAAACGCTCAAATATTCATACTTGAGAATTGCGGTGCAGGCTCTAGATGGCATGCACTAACCAGCCATGCAAAAAACAAGGGCTTAGGGCATGCTGAGTAGTTGGGAAAAATAAAAGAAGAGCATGTGCTTTCATGGGGAAACGCTCAAACATTCATACTTGGGGGAAATGTTGAAATGCTATAGCTCCCCACCCCTTTGGATTTTCGACTTGAGAATTGCGGTGCAGGCTCTAGATCACATGCAAAGCCATGCAAAAAAAAAGGGCTTAGGGCATGCTGAGTAGCTGGGAAAAATAAAAGAAGTGCATGTGCTTTCATGGGGAAACGCTCAAACATTCATACTTGGGGCAAATGTTGAAATGCTATAGCTTCCCACCCCTTTGGATTTTCGACTTGAGAATTGGGGGCAGGCTCTAGATGGCATGCACTAACCAGCCATGCAAAAAACAAGGGCTTAGGGCATGCTGAGTAGTTGGGAAAAATAAAAGAAGAGCATGTGCTTTCATGGGGAAACGCTCAAACATTCATACTTGGGGCAAATGTTGAAATGCTATAGCTCCCCACCTTTTGGATTTTCGACTTGAGAAATGCAGTGCAGGCTCTAGATTGTTGTGTGATGTCATCATATGCTATCACATTCTGTCTGCCTCCCATCCCATATTTTTTCAACTTGCATGTGTGGTTTGAACGTGTGCAAGAATTTGTGTGTGATGTGTTCTGGAGTTTGGGAATGTGTTTTGTGTTATTTTGTTTGAGCAGGTTTTTTGTGATGATAGATCTTGAGAAGATCTTTCCGACGCAACGAGAATCCCTTCAATCGGAGCAAGAACGCGAAAGCTATGAAGATTCAAAGTTCATGAGCTTGCGTTACAATTGCGGCGGTTACAAAGTGAAGTTGTGGGGTGACTCTATATGGAGTTGGGACCTTTGGGGGTTTGGGAAATTTGTCACTCACTGTAACAGCTGCAAATTGGTTGGGAACAACCAAGCTAGGTTGGCAAGGGTGGCCAACTTGGATGGATTGGTTGGGAAGGGACAAATGTCAAAGTTGGGGTTCCTATAGGGAGGGAATCTTTGTGCTTATGGGGTTTCCTTGGTTGGGGACTCTCTTGGGACCTTCCCTCTCATCCCTCTCTTCCTATCCCAACCTTTCTCTTGCTCCTTCTAATTCCTTGTGAGATTCTTGAACTTTGATTGAACTCTTGAGATTGAGTTAAGTTCTCCTCCTACAGCTTACCCCCTAGTGCGTCGAAAGCCATAGCGTCGCGAATACTTCATCAATCAACGTGATTCAAATTGGGAACGGTAGCTGAGATCAAGAGCTACAACATATCCAAGTTTCGCGACATTCCAACGGCTAGTGTTTTGTCGACGTCGTTTCTTGTGAAGACGACTTTTCTGTCCAGAATTTCGGATTTATATTTTGAGTAATTCTAGCTCCTAAGTTCACCTAGACTCTGTCCTTAATCCTAACAAGTGGTATCAGAGCAATATTAAGGACATTGAGAGGAGTCTACAGAAGTTTGAAGACCCTTCTAGACCCACCATGGCCTGTGGGTGTGCCTAAGTGGTGTTCTAAAGGTTGGATGTGTCTTCCGCTAAGGGGAAACTCTGCCGAAATTTCGTGGACGCCGACACTTGTGAAAATATCGAGGGAGCTGAGTGTGGACAGCAAAGGGGAGCTGAAATTCGTCATTTCTCAAGGAGAAGATGAATGAGAGAGGAGGAGATGCTAATGGAAGAGGAGCTGTACCTGAGAAGACAAGTGAGCCGCCGCCATCAAAAGTTGAAGCTTTGGATGGCTCCAACTATGAGGAATGGAGCGGACGGATGAGGAGTGCCTTCAAACGCTACAAGCTCCTGAAGATTGCTGTTGGGGAAGAGAAGATGCCGGAAGAAGGCGAAGCACGTGAACGGTGGATTGAGAAAAGCACGGTGCTTTTCGACCTCATCCTTCAATCGGTCAACAAGGAGATGTTCGAGCACATCAAGGATCTTGTGGAAGCGGATGATTCGGGTCCAAGGGCGTGGAAACTACTACGCGATGTGATTCAGCCCAACACTCTCCTGATGGTGATCGTGCTCGAGAAGGAACTTGCTGCCATCTCCATGCGACCAGGGGACGATGTGAAGCCGGTCCTTGACAAGATCAAGGACACCTATGCAAGGATGGCAGCAGCGGGCAGCAGTGTATCTCAGCTGCAGCAGTGCACCAAGATCATCTCGGTGTTGGACAACTCTTGGGACAACCTCATCCCCACCCTCAACTCTCAACAAGATCAATGGACACCTGAGTGGCTAAGGCAGCAGATTCTGCAGGAGGACTTCCGCAGACGCCATGTGGGAGGCGGTGCTGCCACTAAGACTGCTGAGGGGTATGGAGCTGCAGGGCGCGGCAGAGGAAGAGGGGGTTGGAGAGGCCGAGGCCGTGGGAGGAGCTTTGGCAGAGGTAGAGGCCGAGGTGACTATAATGAGGGGCATGGGAGCTCTAGTGGCAGGGGGAGTACCAGAATGGAGGGCACCTGCTGGTACTGCAAGAAGATAGGGCATCCTTGGTTCAAGTGCTTCAGCAGGCCGGAGGGATGGGCACCTCCAGGCATGAAGCCACCCAGTGGTGAACGCGCACAAGGTGGCGCTGTGCAAGATGAAGGTGCACAAGGTAACGCCTATCCTGGGATGTATCTCATGGTTGAGGATGTGCATGGGCATGAGGGTGATGTGGGATCTGTCGGAAAGGTTGTGATGCACCCTCTCACGCACTGGGTGATTGATTCGGGTTGCACCAGTCACATGACCCCACGGGCAGATTTGCTTGATGAGGTAAAACCCCCTGGGAAGATTAAGTATGTGGCAGCAGCGTCAGGTGCTTTGCTCCCCGTGATTGGTGTTGGGAATGCCAAGGTTAAGGGAGCTAATGGGGAGCTTGTGGGGCTTGGGAATGTTCTGCTGGTTAAAGGCTTGTCTGCTAACCTTCTCTCTGTGCGGCGGCTGCAGAAGAGTAAGGCCGAAGTGACCTTTGGACCAACCAGCTGCCGTGCTAAGCTTGGGAAGAAGGTGCTGTGGAGTCTGGAAGAGGAGACCAGCTGCATCAAGGACCTGTGGCAGCTGCCCATCATCCCTTGGAATGGGAAGACTCCAACAGCAGCAACGGCAGCAGTGGCAAAGGCAACAGCAGGAGGAGATGCAACTGCACCAACTGATGGGGTCCTGGAAGCAGTCAAGAAAGTGCAGAAGCAGCAGACACATGGTGAGGTGCTTGCTGGTGTGGATGCGAGTGCGGCATGGGCTAAGGCTTCATCAAGGAGTGGAGAGGCCGATTGGGAGACATGGCATGAGAGGCTGTGTCATGTGAACTTCCCTATGCTGCAGAAGTTGGTGAAGAATGGGAGCCTGAAGGGCTTGGAGGTGAAAGGGGAAGTGAAGGAGATTGGGAGCTGCCCTACATGCTTGGAGACCAAGTTCTCCAAGTTCCCCTTCAACAGCACTACAGGACCAGCCAAGACCCCACTTGCACTTGTGCACATGGATGTGGTGGGGCCCACAAGAGCGCCTTCCCTCTCAGGCAGCCGCTATTTCTTGACAATTGTGGATGACCACACTCGGGCAGTGTGGGTTTACCCTTTGAAGAGCAAGGGGGAGGTGGCAGCGGCTGTCCTTAAGGAGTGGATGCCTAGAGCTCAGAGGGAATGCGGATACAAGGTGAAGGTGATCCGCAGTGACAATGGTGGGGAGTTCATTGGAGCTGATTTTGAGGGGGAGTTGAAGAGGAAGGGGATCCAGCATCAACTGACAGTGCCCTACAACCCGCAGCAGAATGGCGTGGCTGAGAGGTTCAACAGGACCCTGCAGGAGGGGGCACGCACTCTCCTTGGGCGTGCAGGGCTGCCTGATCCGTTTTGGGTGTCTGCACTGAGGCAGGTCGCCCTTGTGAAGAACAGGGTGCTGGCTACAGTTGGAGATAAGGAGTGGATCCCATATGTCAAGTGGTATGGGAGTGCTCCAGCTGTGAACATGCTGAGGGCATTTGGGTGCATGGTGGTGTTTCATGTGCCTAAGGAGAAAAGGGGGAAGTTGGAGGCTTCTGGAAGATGGGGTGTGCACTTGGGGATTGCAAAGGATCACAAGGGGTGGCTGCTATGGGACTTGACCACCCAGAAGTTGACAGTGTCAAGGGATGTGAAGTTTCTTGAGTCCCTGTACTACAAGGAATGGAAGCAGCAGCAACAGAAGCTTCCATCTACACCGCTCATTGTGGAGGCAGATGAGGTGCAGCACCCTTCAAGACAGGTGGAGGTTGCAGTGTCAGAGGAGGAGATGTCTGGGGTGACTGAGGAAGGGGGAGCAGCTGAAGTAGAGCAGCAGCAGCAGCAGCAGCATGAGTCTCCACCTCGAGTTCCACACCCGCCTGAGCGTCCTAGGAGGGATGTGCGCCCTCCAGTGAGGCTGACCTATGGGGGAAGAGGCAAGCCAAATGTGGTGCAGGCTGGGAGTGTGGTTGAGCAGATTGAGGAAGATGAGATCGCTCACTGCTACTGGGCACCAATCCCTGAGCCCAAGACTCGAGAAGAGGCCTTGAATGGACCAAATGGGGAGAAGTGGAAGGCGAGTGAGGATGAGGAGTTCGGGTCCCTAATTGAGAACGAGACATGGGACCTGTGTGACTTGCCTCCTGGAAAGAAGGCAATCACTTCCAAGATGATCTACAGGCACAAGTATGGACCTGAAGGGGAGCTGACCCGCTACAAGTCTAGGCTTGTGGCACGGGGGTTTCAGCAGACAAAGGGGAAGGACTATGATGAGGTGTTTGCTCCTGTGGGGAAAGGAACAACACTGAGGGTGCTGTTGGCGATAGCTGCACTCCTGGGATGGAAGATTCGGCAGATGGATATTGTGACTGCCTTTCTGAATGGGATCATTATGGAGGAGGTGTACATGAAGCAGCCAGAGGGGCTGGATGATGGGAGCGGCAGGGTCTGCAGGCTGAAGAAGGCAATCTATGGCCTTAAGCAGGCGCCTCGTGCATGGTATCACAAGTTGGAGGAGGCGCTGGTGGCTGGGGGTTTCAAGAAGAGTGAGTGTGACCCCAGCCTGTTCCTGCTGCAGGAGAAGGACGAAATCCTCATGCTCTTGGTGTATATGGATGATATCCTTCTCTTTTCTGCATCCACTGCTTTGCTGGACAGCGCAGAGCAGATGCTGGAGATGCAGTTCAAGTGCTCCAAGATGGGTGAGGTGAAGTACTACTTGGGGATGCATGTGGAGAGAGATGTGGAAAAGGGTGTGCTGAGGTTGCACCAGAGGAAGTACTGTGAGGGGCTGGCTGAGAAGTATGGGCTGCAAGATGGGGGAAAGCCAGCAACACCACTACCTTCAGGGTTTACTGTGGAGCCATGTGCTGATGAGGAGGTAGTGGGTGATAGTGACAGGAAGCTGTTTCATTCGATGGTTGGGTCGCTGAATTATGCTGCAAATCATACACGGCCTGACATTGCATTTGCTACATCACGATTGGCTAGTGTGGTCTCACGCCCTAGTCATGAGCAGCTGGAAGCGGCCAAGAGGTTGGTCCGCTATGTGAGCGCTACGGCATCAGTGGGATTGGAGTACAGTGGAGTGAGGCAGCGGTTGCAGAGAGGTGCTGCAGATGTGAAGAGTGGAGAGATGCTCTTGAGTTGCTATACTGACGCTAGCTTCAACTCAGTGAAAGCGGATGGCACCAGCATTGGGGGTTATGTGTGCTTGCTAGGAGGTGGTGCTGTGAGCTGGCGCAGCAAGAAGCAGAATGAGGTGGGATTGTCCTCATGTGAGACTGAGTACATGGCCTTACACCATGGGGCCAAGGAAGTAGTGTGGCTAAGGCGTTTGTTGGAGGAGTTGGGAGTTGGTCAGGAGAAGCCGACAGTTGTGTTTTGTGACAATGAGTCCGCTGTGAAGCTCGCCAAGAATGCTTGTCTGCATGGGCTGACAAAACACATAAGGCCTAAGTGGCATTGGGTGAGGAGACTCCTTGATAAGGAGGTGCGGCTGGAGATAGTGAAGACCCATCAGCAGGCAGCAGATATTTTCACCAAGCGTCTGGCGGAGGCGGATCATTGGAAGGGCATGAAGCTTGCTGGGATGAGTGTGCATTGAGTATGCATGCTTGAGATGTTGGTATGGTGGATGATGGTTGGCAGCCAGAGGGGGAGATTGTTGTGTGATGTCATCATATGCTATCACATTCTGTCTGCCTCCCATCCCATATTTTTTCAACTTGCATGTGTGGTTTGAACGTGTGCAAGAATTTGTGTGTGATGTGTTCTGGAGTTTGGGAATGTGTTTTGTGTTATTTTGTTTGAGCAGGTTTTTTGTGATGATAGATCTTGAGAAGATCTTTCCGACGCAACGAGAATCCCTTCAATCGGAGCAAGAACGCGAAAGCTATGAAGATTCAAAGTTCATGAGCTTGCGTTACAATTGCGGCGGTTACAAAGTGAAGTTGTGGGGTGACTCTATATGGAGTTGGGACCTTTGGGGGTTTGGGAAATTTGTCACTCACTGTAACAGCTGCAAATTGGTTGGGAACAACCAAGCTAGGTTGGCAAGGGTGGCCAACTTGGATGGATTGGTTGGGAAGGGACAAATGTCAAAGTTGGGGTTCCTATAGGGAGGGAATCTTTGTGCTTATGGGGTTTCCTTGGTTGGGGACTCTCTTGGGACCTTCCCTCTCATCCCTCTCTTCCTATCCCAACCTTTCTCTTGCTCCTTCTAATTCCTTGTGAGATTCTTGAACTTTGATTGAACTCTTGAGATTGAGTTAAGTTCTCCTCCTACAGCTTACCCCCTAGTGCGTCGAAAGCCATAGCGTCGCGAATACTTCATCAATCAACGTGATTCAAATTGGGAACGGTAGCTGAGATCAAGAGCTACAACATATCCAAGTTTCGCGACATTCCAACGGCTAGTGTTTTGTCGACGTCGTTTCTTGTGAAGACGACTTTTCTGTCCAGAATTTCGGATTTATATTTTGAGTAATTCTAGCTCCTAAGTTCACCTAGACTCTGTCCTTAATCCTAACATAGATGGCATGCACTAACCAGCCATGCAAAAAACAAGGGCTTAGGGCATGCTGAGTAGCTCGGAAAAATAAAAGAAGAGCATGTGCTCTCATGGGGAAACGCTCAAACATTCATACTTGGGGCAAATGTTGAAATGCTATAGCTTCCCACCCCTTTGGATTTTCAACTTGAGAATTGCGGTGCAGGCTCTAGATGGCATGCACTAACCAGCCATGCAAAAAACAAGGGCTTAGGGCATGCTGAGTAGCTGGGAAAAATAAAAGAAGAGCATGTGCTTTCATGGGGAAACGCTCAAATATTCATACTTGGGGCAAATGTTGAAATGCTATAGCTCCCCACCCCTTTGGATTTTCGACTTGAGAATTGCGGTGCAGGCTCTAGATGGCATGCACTAACCAGCCATGCAAAAAAAAAGGGCTTAGGGCATTCTGAGTAGCTGGGAAAAATAAAAGAAGTGCATGTGCTTTCATGGGGAAACGCTCAAACATGCATACTTGGGGCATATGTTGAAATGCTATAGCTCCCCACCCCTTTGGATTTTCGACTTGAGAATTACGGTGCAGGCTCTAGATCACATGCAAAGCCATGCAAAAAACAAGGGCTTAGGGCATGCTGAGTAGCTGGGAAAAATAAAAGAAGAGCATGTGCTTTCATGGGGAAACGCTCAAACATTCATACTTGGGGCAAATGTTGAAATGCTATAGCTCCCCACCCCTTTGGATTTTCGACTTGAGAATTACGGTGCAGGCTCTAGATCACATGCAAAGCCATGCAAAAAACAAGGGCTTAGGGCATGCTGAGTAGCTGGGAAAGAAAAAAGAAGAGCATGTGCTTTCATGGAGAAACGCTCAAATATTCCTACTTGAGAATTGCGGTGCAGGGTCTAGATGGCATGCACTAACTAGCCATGCAAAAAACAAGGGCTTAGGGCATGCTGAGTAGCTGGGAAAAATAAAAGAAGTGCATGTGCTTTCATGGGGAAACGCTCAAACATGCATACTTGGGGCAAATGTTGAAATGCTATAGCTCCCCACCCCTTTGGATTTTCGACTTGAGAATTACGGTGCAGGCTCTAGATCACATGCAAAGCCATGGAAAAAACCAGGGCTTAGGGCATGCTGAGTAGCTGGGAAAGATAAAAGAAGAGCATGTGCTTTCATGGGGAAACGCTCAAATATTCATACTTGAGAATTGCGGTGCAGGGTCTAGATGGCATGCACTAACTAGCCATGCAAAAAACAAGGGCTTAGGGCATGCTGAGTAGCTGGGAAAAATAAAAGAAGAGCATGTGCTTTCATGGGGAAACGCTCAAACATTCTTACTTGAGAATTGCGGTGCAGGGTCTAGATGGCATGCACTAACTAGCCATGCAAAAAACAAGGGCTTAGGGCATGCTGAGTAGCTGGGAAAAATAAAAGAAGAGCATGTGCTTTCATGGGGAAACGCTCAAACATTCATACTTGGGGCAAATGTTGAAATGCTATAGCTCCCCACCTTTTGGGATTTTCGACTTGAGAATTGCGGTGCAGGCTCTAGATGGCATGCACTAACCAGCCATGCAAAAAAAAAGGGCTTAGGGCATGCTGAGTAGCTGGGAAAAATAAAAGAAGAGCATGTGCTTTCATGGGGAAACGCTCAAACATGCATACTTGGGGCAAATGTTGAAATGCTATAGCTCCCCACCCCTTTGGATTTTCGACTTGAGAATTACGGTGCAGGCTCTAGATCACATGCAAAGCCATGCAAAAACAAGGGCTTAGGGCATGCTGAGTAGCTGGGAAAGATAAAAGAAGAGCATGTGCTTTCATGGAGAAACGCTCAAATATTCATACTTGAGAATTGCGGTGCAGGGTCTAGATGGCATGCACTAACTAGCCATGCAAAAAACAAGGGCTTAGGGCATGCTGAGTAGCTGGGAAAAAAAAAAGAAGAGCATGTGCTTTCATGGGGAAACGCTCAAACATTCATACTTGGGGCAAATGTTGAAATGCTATAGCTCCCCACCTTTTGGATTTTCGACTTGAGAATTGCGGTGCAGGCTCTAGATGGCATGCACTAACCAGCCATGCAAAAAAAAAGGGCTTAGGGCATGCTGAGTAGCTGGGAAAAATAAAAGAAGTGCATGTGCTTTCATGGGGAAACGCTCAAACATGCATACTTGGGGCAAATGTTGAAATGCTATAGCTCCCCACCCCTTTGGATTTTCGACTTGAGAATTACGGTGCAGGCTCTAGATCACATGCAAAGCCATGGAAAAAACAAGGGCTTAGGGCATGCTGAGTACCTGGGAAAAATAAAAGAAGAGCATGTGCTTTCATGGGGAAACGCTCAAATATTCATACTTGAGAATTGCGGTGCAGGGTCTAGATGGCATGCACTAACTAGCCATGCAAAAAACAAGGGCTTAGGGCATGCTGAGTAGCTGGGAAAAATAAAAGAAGAGCATGTGCTTTCATGGGGAAACGCTCAAACATTCATACTTGGGGCAAATGTTGAAATGCTATAGCTCCCCACCTTTTGGATTTTCGACTTGAGAATTGCGGTGCAGGCTCTAGATGGCATGCACTAACCAGCCATGCAAAAAACAAGGGCTTAGGGCATGCTGAGTAGTTGGGAAAAATAAAAGAAGAGCATGTGCTTTCATGGGGAAACGCTCAAACATTCATACTTGGGGGAAATGTTGAAATGCTATAGCTCCCCACCCCTTTGGATTTTCGACTTGAGAATTGCGGTGCAGGCTCTAGATCACATGCAAAGCCATGCAAAAAAAAAGGGGTTACGGCATGCTGAGTAGCTGGGAAAAATCAAAGAAGTGCATGTGCTTTCATGGGGAAACGCTCAAACATGCATACTTGGGGCAAATGTTGAAATGCTATAGCTCCCCACCCCTTTGGATTTTCGACTTGAGAATTACGGTGCAGGCTCTAGATCACATGCAAAGCCATGCAAAAAACAAGGGCTTAGGGCATGCTGAGTAGCTGGGAAAGATAAAAGAAGAGCATGTGCTTTCATGGGGAAACGCTCAAATATTCATACTTGAGAATTGCGGTGCAGGCTCTAGATGGCATGCACTAACCAGCCATGCAAAAAAAAAGGGCTTAGGGCATGCTGAGTAGCTAGGAAAAATAAAAGAAGTGCATGTGCTTTCATGGGGAAACGCTCAAACATGCATACTTGGGGTAAATGTTGAAATGCTATAGCTCCCCACCCCTTTGGATTTTCGACTTGAGAATTACGGTGCAGGCTCTAGATCACATGCAAAGCCATGCAAAAAACAAGGGCTTAGGGCATGCTGAGTAGCTGGGAAAAATAAAAGAAGAGCATGTGCTTTCATGGGGAAACACTCAAATATTCATACTTGGGGCAAATGTTGAAATGCTATAGCTCCCCACCCCTTTGGATTTTCGACTTGAGAATTACGGTGCAGGCTCTAGATCACATGCAAAGCCATGCAAAAAACAAGGGCTTAGGGCATGCTGAGTAGCTGGGAAAAATAAAAGAAGAGCATGTGCTTTCACGGGGAAACGCTCAAATATTCATACTTGAGAATTGCGGTGCAGGGTCTAGATGGCATGCACTAACTAGCCATGCAAAAACAAGGGCTTAGGGCATGCTGAGTAGCTGGGAAAAATAAAAGAAGAGCATGTGCTTTCATGGGGAAACGCTCAAACATTCATACTTGGGGCAAATGTTGAAATGCTATAGCTTCCCACCCCTTTGGATTTTCGACTTGAGAATTGCGGTGCAGGCTCTAGATGGCATGCACTAACCAGCCATGCAAAAAACAAAGGCTTAGGGCATGCTGAGTAGCTGGGAAAAATAAAAGAAGAGCATGTGCTTTCATGGGGAAACGCTCAAATATTCATACTTGGGGCAAATGTTGAAATGCTATAGCTCCCCACCCCTTCGGATTTTCGACTTGAGAATTGCGGTGCATGCTCTAGATGGCATGCACTAACCAGCCATGCAAAAAAAAGGGGCTTAGGGCATGCTGAGTAGCTGGGAAAAATAAAAGAAGTGCATGTGCTTTCATGGGGAAACGCTCAAACATGCATACTTGGGGCAAATGTTGAAATGCTATAGCTCCCCACCCCTTTGGATTTTCGACTTGAGAATTACGGTGCAGGCTCTAGATCACATGCAAAGCCATGCAAAAAACAAGGGCTTAGGGCATGCTGAGTAGCTGGGAAAAATAAAAGAAGAGCATGTGCTTTCATGGGGAAACGCTCAAACATTCATACTTGGGGCAAATGTTGAAATGCTATACCTTCCCACCCCTTTGGATTTTCGACTTGAGAATTGCGGTGCAGGCTCTAGATGGCATGCACTAACCAGCCATGCAAAAAACAAGGTCTTAGGGCATGCTGAGTAGTTGGGAAAAATAAAAGAAGAGCATGTGCTTTCATGGGGAAACGCTCAAATATTCATACTTGAGGCAAATGTTGAAATGCTATAGCTCCCCACCCCTTTGGATTTTCGACTTGAGAATTGCGGTGCAGGCTCTAGATCACATGCAAAGCCATGCAAAAAAAAAGGGCTTAGGGCATGCTGAGTAGCTGGGAAAAATAAAAGAAGTGCATGTGCTTTCATGGGGAAACGCTCAAACATGCATACTTGGGGCAAATGTTGAAATGCTATAGCTCCCCACCCCTTTGGATTTTCGACTTGAGAATTACGGTGCAGGCTCTAGATCACATGCAAAGCCATGCAAAAAACAAGGGCTTAGGGCATGCTGAGTA